AAGTAATGGAGGGACTTCCAGAGAAAGAAAGAACACTTCCAGACGCCATTGTTGATAAAAATAGGAGAAAGAAAAACGCGGCAGTGAGGAACCAAAAAACCGAGAGGGTTTCTTAGGGTTTTCTTCAAGGGAAGCTTCTGAACATAACTGAAGTAGGGTTTTGAGGGTGTGAACAGAGAGAGGAGGCTTAGGCGACAGCTATGGAGGTGTCGCGGTGACCTTTCGACGGGCAGAGGGCGGCGCGTGAACAGTACGCGCCTGTTCGCAGCGCACAAAGAAGCGGCGCGTGACGGAGCGTGGAGGAGAATCGGACTCCGGCACTGGTGGGGTTGGTCGTCATGTGAAGAGACGAACCAGATCCAGTGGTCGTCGGACGAAACAGTGACGGCGGATGGTGGCAGACGGCGGCGGACAGATGTGAGATGGCAGAGAACCAAGTTGAAGAGCTTTAAACTGCAGTTGACAGCTGCAGGTAGTGACAAGACAACCGCGGACAACAACAAAGGACACCGGACAGATGCGAACGACAATGACAATGCTGGTAGACAACCCAGGACAGAAACCAGAGCAGGTTCATCTACAAAAACCAACTTGAGATTACAAACTGATAAAAATATATTCTTGAGGGCTTCCCTGATCTCTCTCATTATCTTCTATATATATTGAAAAAGCAAGAGTATATGGAACACCAAGAGTCTGCACTAGACTTCTAGGTACAGAACTAGGTACTACTCATTACTGGTCTAGCATATTAGCCTTAATGATAATATGTAATAGTAATTATTCTAACAATGTTTTTAGTCTGATAGATCTGATAGTTGTCTTTTTAGTCCTTACAAATTTGCAGAAATTAGTCGTTAAAGACAAAATTGTTTTTTAGTCCTTTTTAGAAAATAATCTACAAAAGTTAGTCCTAAAAAAGTAGTTTTAGTCATTTTTTGTCCACTTTGTTAGTATTGTTGCTTACATGACAAACAGAGGACATGTCACCAACTGTCATTTGTAACTAATGAATTCACTCTAAAAATAAGACATGTATCATTATTAGACATGCCAGTTTATTCTTTTTTGATTTTTTATAAATTTTTATTAAAAGGGGCTACAAGTTAGTTCCTTTAAGTGATGAAATTAGTTGGGTGAGTGATGGAATATGGAAATCATGTTTTCCATTGGCTAGATTGTGTTCGTTCAAGGGCCATGGGTTTCATTTCCTCTAAAATATGTTTTTAATTATTTACTGCCGATGTTTTGGGGAACTAATTTCTGCAGATATTTTCTTTAACGACTTGGAAAAACAATTGTATTATAAATTGAAAGACTAAAACCATATTTAAGCCTTTTAAAAAAGTTGCTATTTTGATAAACATGTAATAAAATGTTAGATTCCTGTAACTATGTGTAGACAAATATATTAATATATCTCGACATCTGGTGTCTAAAGCTCAAATTTACCGGGATCAATTGGTTGGTTCCTGCACAAGTTGTGGGAAGTAGAAATCTAGAAGTTTACTACATATTATGAGATTTTAATCCTAATTTTTTCCTTGTTTTCGTTTGTATGTTAGTTCATGGTATCTATATAATGAAAGGATTAAAACTTGTTCTTTTGCAGACACTGAGGTTCTCATAATCAAAAGTCTGACACACAGAGAAATCAATGCAGTTATAAAGGTGAGAATCTGTTATTTATAACCGATTAATTGAATGCTTTTAGGTATATATCAGTACGGATGGGAGCAACTGGATACCTAGCTACTTACTAGAATAGTTTTATCTACATTTTTTCAAACTACTTTTTATGGCAGACCATACCCAATCCAGTCTATCTCTTCCAAGGAATTGTACTACGTCGAGGTGCCAAAGGAACTGGAATGAAATCTATTGAGTTAGCGCTCTCCATGTGTGATATCATTGATATATATGGATTCACTGTTGATCCAGGATACACTGAATGGTTAGTTTCTCTATTTTGATATTGATTATTTCTCAAATTCTTGGTGTTTCCTCCATCGATACACAAAATCTTAATTTTTAAATTATTTGTTTATTTATTTTTGTAAATGTTAGGTTGTGATACTAAAAGACTTTCGAACATTTCATGTTGAAATTTGAGATAATATCTTTAGAATCTTCCTAATTAGAGGAAATAGATATATAATCTTTTATTTTATTTTTAGTTTCCCTATTTTCCTTTTTAAAAGAATTAGATTATTACAAACAGAGGGTATCAGAATGTATTTTTTATGATTGAGAATAATAAATCAGTCTTATTTTTTAACTTGGTATCAGAGCCTACCTGATCCGCTTCCGCGGTCTTTGTTGTCTACCAGCGGCCCCCTAAAAGTCTTTTCTTTAACATGTGTTTTTATTGAGCTCCAATTGCCCTAGTCAAGTTCTGCCTTAGAATTCTGGCCTTTTATCCATTATTACCAAATACAAAGCTTGTTTGAGTATGATCACAATGGGATTCAAACCCATTCCCTTTCGGACCAATAGCTGAAATTGGCACTTTAGATCTGTTGATGCCCAATCAATTTTGGCTCCTTTTGGGATTCTTATTGACTGCTAGTTGAATCAAAGAGACCGAAAGTCTCTTCGAAGAACCCAAGAAAGGCCACTGCCTTTGCTGCTTACTCCGCTGTGCAATGCCTCTCTCCACCGCTAGTCATCGTCCGCCGCCAGCCTCCATACGTTGCCAGCTACTGTCCGTCGTTGGTCACCGTCGTAGTTCTGACCGATGACTAGCGGATCTGGATCGTCTCTTTGTGTGCGACCTAACCCTGGTGGTCAACACCTTAGACTCCTCCGCACGTGTCGTCACGCACCTCTTTCTCGTCTCAGGTTTTTCACTCTGTTGGAACCCAGAGAAAAATCTCTCTCTGTCTCTCCCCATCTTGTGGAGTTGTTCAATTTGGGAACATGTCCCAGGAATCTCAGCGCGCCTCCTCTCTCCATCAGATCTCGTGTATATGTTTGTCACGCGCCGCTGTCCCGGTGTCGGAATCACACCGCGCCGCTTCCGGTTGACTCGCCGGACCTCCTCCTCTCTGTTATGACCTTCCATAGCAAGATCTGCGTCTTCTTTGCTTCTCACTATTCGTCGCAAGCTTCATTCTTTTTTTGTTTCTCGAGCAACAGTGCTTCGTCTCCGCTACTGATGCCGCTGATGCGCCAGCTCCTAGTACTACTTCTCCTGCTTCCGTCATCTTCTCCATTGAGAAGGGTTCTCTGCCTTCACGGGCTTTCTGCCACCACCAATGGGTTTCTTCTTCCTCTTTCTTGTGCGGCATTGATTGGTGCTTCTTGCCGACGTCTCTGCCGCTTATGCTGCCGAATGCACCGACATCTATGGCCAAGCTGTCTCCACTATCTGGTTACAATTCCGTGATTCTCTCTTGCAAGTGTGATGTCCCCGTTGGCCTGTGGCATGAAGGGGAGTCTGTTTATGTTCCAGTCAACAATTCATTAGCCTTGTTGGCGGGTGCTTTAATGTCGCTGGTGCTGCAGTCAGTTGTATGTTGCTGCCTCAAGTTTGTCGATGTTGCCTCAATAAGCTACCACATTTTCTTTAGTCAAGATTAAGAGTGTCTCGTGAAGTGCATTAGCCGTCGTTTTCGCTGTTTGTCGTGAGGGAAAATATTTTTCAGCCCTTGGAGAGAACTTTCTTCTTGGGCTAGAGTTTAGCCCGTACTTTTGTGATACAGTGTAAGTATCACCATTTGGGAGTAGTCCAGTAGAGAACTTAGGACCTCCAAAGTGTCTTCGATATTTGGTGTTTTTTGGTTTCTACCATCACTAATGTGAAAGGCTCTCTTCACCTTCAATGCTTTGTTATAATAGCTCACTGAGAGTTGTTCTTTGAGACCGCCCGCTGAATTGACTCTTTCGAAGTTATGGGATTTAGATTTGTCCCTCGTACGGATCAGTTCTCACCAGTTCTTCCACCTACACGTTCTGTTGTTCAGTCGTGAGGAGGAGAAAGTTCCAGCCGCTGCAGGGTAGTGTAGTGCCTGCAGGTTTGTTGCTGTTAGCCTCTGCAGGACAGATGTTGCCTGAAGGCTTGTTGTTGTTTAGGGCAGTTAAGTCCCTGAAGGTTTGTTGTTGTTTAGGGTAGTTAAGTCCCTACAGGTTTGTGGGTTAGCCTTTTAGTTCCAGCCACTGCAGGGTAGTGTAGTCCCTGGAAGTCTGTTGTTGTTAGCCTCTGCAGGACAGTTGTTTCCTGAAGGCTTGTTGTTGTTCAGGGCAGTTAAATCCCTGAAGGTTTGTTGTTGTTTAGGGTAGTTAAATCCCTACAGGTTTGTGGCTGTTAGCCTTTGAAGGCCTCCCATATGTTACTAATAGAAATCATGTTCTTAAAGTTTTGTTATTGTTCGCCACTATTGATAGTAATCCAGTCCCCGCAGTTTGTTGTTGTTCGCCACTGGAGGCCCTTCATCTGTTATTGTAGTTTGTTAATGTTTGCTGCTGCAAGTCATCATCCATTTTTAATGGAAATCTTTCTCGTCCATTGTTTTCCAAGTTGAAGTTTCATGGTGCTCGTTCGCCCTCGTCCATTGTTGTCCAAGTTGAAGTTTCATGGTGCTAGTTCGCCTTCGTCCATTGTTGTCCAAGTTGAAGTTTCATTGTGCTAGTTCGCTTTTGTCCATTGCTGTCCAATTTGGTTTATTGATGTTCTCTACAATTGAGTTTGACTACTATTCCAAGCTTGGTTCATACAATCTTGTATGATCCAGCTTGAGGGAGAGTGCTGTAATTTGAGATAATATCTTTAGAATCTTCTTAATTAGAGGAAATAGATATATAATCTTTTATTTTATTTTATTTTCCTAGTTTTCCTATTTTCCTTTTTAGGAGAATTAAATTATTACAAATAGAGGGTATCAGAATGTATTTTTTATGATTGAGAATAATAAATCAGTCTTATTTTTTAACTTTTCATCTTCCCTTTTTATCTTTTTTTTTTTCTTATAGGACAAGATACTTCTCTAAGCCTAGGAAGGGACACAATCCACTTCAAGGAAGAGCGTATTACCAACTTCTAGAATGTCTTGGGGTATACCTTAATTATAAATTTCTATACACAATATATTTAGTGTGTATATTTTATAATAATTTCGAGTTGTTTTATTGTCAGGTAATCAGGATTCACTCGCCCATGAGATCTAAGAGGAGGGAAGACTGGTCAGATATACCTGGTAGAGAAATGATAAGGCAAGCACATGCAGCAGCTTTGCGTTTGAAAAGGAATGAAGACGATCATGGAGGTGATTTAGGGCAGTTTGGCAATTGTAAGGTGTGGGGCAATGTGGATCCAGAGAACAGTGGACCTGTTTCAGGATCACCAGACATGAGTGATGTCAGGAAATATTCAAATTATAGTAAATGGGAAGTGATACCTTTTGAGAGTTTGAGGAGGGAAGCACAGGATCATTATAACCAGATGCAAGGGGTCTCTCTATATAAAATGGACGGCAATAGGTTGGATGATCTAGTTTGTGTGAGACATTCCTCAAAATCTGATGCGTAAGTGGTGCCTTTGCTTTCTATTGTTATTATTTGATCGTGCCCAACCTTCTATAGAATCTTGGATGAAGTTACTTTCTCTGAGGGCTGCTGACATTACTTCCCAACAGCGTTCTGTTTCTTCACTTATTGCAGCCAGAGCGTAGCACCAATCTCAACTCCAAGTGAAAAAATGGAGTGAATATGCATAATTCCACCAATCCTGGTGATTCATGTTAGAAATCACACTACAGGAATTCTGACCCCAGAAGTTTGTTGTACCATTTTTTTTTTCAGTTCTGGAATGGACAGTCCTTAGTCCGTGGCATGATAGGTATCTAACTTCTATAATGTACTAATTGTCTAAAGAAGTATCTGCAAAAAAAGAAACATTTTTTTTATGATGATGGATAAAGAAAATGATAGTGAGCTGTTTTGTTTTACGAGATTTTCAATGTATTTATTTTGTTGCTAATTTTGTTTCCCCTTTATTCATGTCTTTTCTCTTTTCTCCTCTTGTCACTACTTATCTTGAGTTTGTTACCACAAATTGTTGCGTGACTTATTTTGCTGAATTTACCTTTTCATTTTGTTTACTAATTGGTCAGCCTCAAGATCAATAGCTCTTCAAATATGTGACTCATGCAACATGTTATCTATTGTTGGATGGGTAACTCAAAGTTGATCCTATTCCTCTAACATTTAACTACTTCTATTAGGCAATTCTCAATTATAAAGTTATGCAAATAAAAAGTTTTGCCTTGTCAAGTTATCCATCAACAAACTCATTTTTTTACATTTTATTTCGTTTTCTTCTCCCTTATCAGCTTGTCAATTTTACTGTAAAGTTGATAACAATTTAAAACTTAAATTACTTTGTTTACTTAAAAAAACTTAAATTAACAATTAAGTTACATTTTACGGATAGAGCTTCTCTAACAATTACTTTATTTATTTACAAAACTTAAATTTAAAACCTTAGGTGAAGAAGAAAAATCAGGGTGGTTCTTACTATTACAATGATCAAAAAATTCCAAGAGCTTCATAATAAATATCTTGAGTTGATGGAACCCGCTATAGCAGGATGATTCCCAACACAAAAAGACAACCTTATCCCACACCTTAAATATCTCACTTCATTACACTCTTGCACTGTCATATCCTAAACCTTATCTCACTCCATTTTCTTGTATAAATAGGAACCACTGCTCCTCATAATCTTAATCCAAGCTCAAAGTTCAGGAAACCAACACCTTCAAGATGCAAACAGCTTTAACCTTTGCTGTCCCCAACGTTGTGCCTTTGGCACCCACAAAGACTGTCACCCATCTCACCAACTTCCCTACCAAATTGAAAACCCCACGCCCCTCCCCTCGTTACTCTCCAATAAGGGTTGCAACTGTGGATCCCGACACTTCAACAGTGGACTACAACTCGGCCTTCTCGTAAGCCATTCCTTCTATCTTCCTTGCATGAACATGTCTGTTTGTGTTTTTTGATGGCTGCTCTGTTTTCAGAGTGTTTCCAGCAGAAGCATGCGAAACTGTAGGAGGGGAAGCCTGCATGGCAGAGATGTACCCTGAAGCCAAGCTGCAGCCACAAGCTAAGAACGACACACCACGAACAGCTACAGAGAACGTTGAGAGAGAGTATCTTGAATACAATGATCCTCAAACGTAAGATCTCTCATCAACCAAAAAGACACCCTTTTACAAATACCAAATCAATTGAGATCAATTTTCACACACTTTTGTTATAAAGATTTATACACGCAGGATGATGGATCTATGCAATTCAGAATATACTCATTTTATGGACTTCATTGATTTGAATTCAGAACAGTGGAAAAGCATTATGATTTTGTGGATGTGTTTTGCAGGGTATTTCGGGGAGAGGCTTGTGATGATCTTGGAGGAACTTTCTGTGAGCCCGAGTTTCAGAAGAATGTGTATTAGACCAAACACAAAATCTTAATGTTTTCATGTCTACTTAACTTTTCATATCAACTTATGTGTTTAGTTGTACATAGTTATAGACTCTTTTGACTTTCGTATAAATTTTACAATAATTATACACTAAATTTGATAGCTTTGACTCTCCTTTTTCGTTGGTTTAAAATTAAATTAAATAAAATGAGTTTTCTATTTACTGGGCATTCTTTTAGTTCTTCACATAATTTGTTAACATTTCTTTAATATTAATTTGATTTTCTAAAAGCAAACATCAACTTTTTCTGATGCGATCTGATAAATCTTTAGATTTTGTAAAATTAAACAATTTTAATGGAAGGTTAATTTTTCATTTAGTTGATTGTATAAAAATATTATATATATCTAAGATATTTATTATAATTAGTTTTACAATATGTTAATCAGAGTAATATATATATATATATATATATATATATATTAACAATTAAATTATTGGCTAATTAAAATCACATAACTTTAAAAGATTAAATTTTTTAAATTTGTAATTAAAATTTGAGGGAAACAAAATTGTTCATCCATTAACTTATATACATTAGGCTTATTATCTATTATTTTATTAGTTAATTTTATTCAAAATAATCGCATCTCAGCCAATATTAAATGATTGTCATATAATTATAAATTACCATAAGTTTATTTATTTATTAAAAGCCACAATTAAAAGATACGCAACAGAAACTAAAATATGTGCAGAGACAATAAAAGTGTAGTTGGAAATATCTAGCATGGTGGATAGGCATAGCACTTTCACAGAAGCTAAGGCAATCCAACTTTCTAATGCTTATCCCATTCACAGTAACATGAATGGCAACCACAAATTTCAGATATTCCATTGTGACACATGTACAAGGATTTATTAGATAACAAGTATTTTTTTCTTAAATAAATTAAATAGTTTTTTCTTTAAGCTAAAAATAACTACAGAAGATAAATAAAAATTTTAAAATAGTTACATAAGAGTGTTTTATCAATTTCTTTTTAGTTTAAAGAGAAATTTTCTTTTTATAATTTTAGATTTGTATATTTTAAATAAAATATTTTGAACTTTATTATGTATGTTTCAGCAAAGAAGTAGACTTGAAAAGCGTGAGAAATGATGGAAAAAAAAGTGAAAATACTTCGTTTGGATAAAGAAAAATAAATTGAAAAGTGAAATGGTATAAAAACATATTAAATACATTTTTTATCATCTAAATAATATAAAAAATTGTGTTCACTTTCTAAACTATATTATAAAATATTTATATTTTACTTTTAAAAATAATGCAGGAAATTATATTATAATTTGATGTAAAACTCTGCATGTTATATGAGTAATCCTTCACGTCTTATTTATTGAGAAAGCTTATTTATATAACTTTCATATTATACACTAATTAAATATTTTTATAATATAATTTAAGAACAAAATATAATTTTTTATAATAAATTGAAAATGGAAAAACATATTTAACAAAAAAATATTGTGAACGATTGATTGATATAATAAATTAAATTTTTTTATTTATAAAATGATAAAATTATTCACATTATTACAAATTAATTTTAGTCAAATATTAAATTAAAATATTCATTTTAATTTTATTAATATTATCACTTTGTAATTTTATTTTTGTAACGTCCCATTTTTTTCTTGTTTTCTATATCACGAGTAATTATAACCATTGCATGAATAGAATGTGGCAACAAGTCACAGTTTATGTGTGAAGTGTATGTTTGCTGATGAATGTGTTTGTGGCTAATGCTTTCTTGATTTTACTCAAGCATGCACCGTGTTGACTGAAGTGAGGAGCTTTTTTATAGAAATGCCATGAGGTGGATGGTATCTCATTACAATGTGATCATCACTGATTGTGCATGGAATGAAGAGTGGAGACGCTTGAACTTTTAAGAGTAATTACAGTTTACAAGATTTGACAGACGAACAATCCCATTGACACTTTTTGAGCATTAGCCCGCCAAATGCTTTGAACCTGGAAATGGTAGGCAAATCATCTCCCAGGCAATTGTAACAGATGCCATTCAGAAATTCGGATTAGAGATCTTTGACTATGACAATGTATGCCCTAAATGTGCACAAATTGGGAAGCAAATAGGATTTTGTTTGATTTGGCATCAAGGTTCAGTTCTATGACTAGCCCTGATCTCCGGGGGTATGTTCAGAAGGGCTCCATTGGAGACGGCCTAAAGTATGTGTTGTATGCAAAAAGCCAAAATACGTGCTGATCGGACACTTACGCCAGATCTTAGAGCCGCCGCATTATATCTAGAGCTCACTAACATTGGGAAAACAGTTACACTTTCATATAATCATGGTCTGGATGCATTTTCAAATGTATCTTTCTGGAGAGTGCACTGGTTGACATGTATGCCAAAATGTGGATCCATAAAGAAGCACTTCTCAAGTTTTCAAGAAGATGCCCTAGCGAGAACTGTGGGTGTTTTCCTGATGCCCTGATTCATTCACTGATTTCAGCTTATGCAACAAAACGGAGACGGTGGCCATGCATTAAGATCTTGAAACAAGATGGTTCATTCAGGTCCTGCCAACCAATTCTGTCAGCTTCCCTTAATCCGCATTTGTGTGCTTGCAGAAAAAACCACTGTGGTCTAGTTGAAGAAGGATTACAATACTTCAACTCCATGACTCAAGTGTATAAATTTGTACCCAAAAAAGAGCATTACGCATCAATGGTGATATGCTATGTCGCAGTGGGCGATTTGATGATGCGGGGGGTTTTGGTGTGGGGGTTGAGATATTGAGGCTCGGATGCCGTTTGAACCAGATGAGGTAATGGGACAAGCTGATCTTCAACTCATATGCAGAGATCCTAAGAATCAGAGAGTGGCAAAGAAGAGCAGCAAAAAAAAGATAAACAAAAAAAAACAATATAGAATCAATATGAAATCTCCTTAGAGATCTGTCTCCATCTTTAGCCTCCTTACCAATCATTTATGCAGAGCTGGTGAATGGGAAGAATGTAGGAAAGGTGAAGAAGGCCATGAGAGAGCGAGGATCAGAAAGCCAAGAACATAACAGTTTGGGTTGAAATCAAACAGAAGACTCATGTTTTTCCCCCCCTCAGCCAATGACATGTTCTCTCACCCACAGATAAAGAGATACAGGATGTTCATGAGTTGGAAGAGCAAATGGAGAAACAAGGGTAATAAACCTGACTCAAGTTGTGCCCTGCACAATTGGTGGGGGATTGAGGAAGTCAGGTAGAGTCCCTAAAGTATCACAGTGACGCATTTGCCATTGCGTTGCACTGATTAGCACCCCAAAAGGGTCACCCATATTGTGCTGAAGAACACCCTTACGAGCTTGTAACGGATGCCCGCTGCCATCAAGATAATCTCCAAGATTGTAAAACCGCGAATCACAGTCAGGGGATTCACGTAGATTCATCATTTTCTCAAGATGGAATCTTGCTCTTTGGTAAGGACTATGGTAATTTGTTTTGTTTCATAACAAATCAAATTTCATCAATTTTACTTACAAAGAGAAAGGCGTAGTTAAACCCTGACAAAGATTTAAGTCTCCATTGACAACATATACCCTTGGTTATTAATATAATACCAATTTTTCTACACTACTGGTCAGGAGAAAACATAATTTATTCCTTCCCAGCAAGAAAAAGAAATCCTTGACAGAGTTTGCTTCCACTGTCATATCACACATTTTTCTATTTTTATTTGTATAACTTTTTATACCAATGATATCATAATCAAGACAATCTTATTCACTAGTTTCTAACAAGGATTTACACAATGATCCCAGGATGAAACTTCCACTTCAATGTCAAGAATTGTAAGTCGTCAACAGGGTAGACCAAAAACAACAGTCTCATCGACTGAATTTGTCTGCAAATTTTCTTAGGAGTTTCATTTCTAGGGTTCGAGACTTTATTTTGGGGTGATGGAGAGAGCCTATAAATATGGCGAGAAATTGAGGGTTTGGGGACACGAAAGCAAGTGAGCTTTAGAAACCAAGAGTGGGAGCGAGAGTTCGGAAAGAGAAGTGTGAAATTCAAGCAGTGGGGTGAGTGTGAGACGTAGAGGTTTGGTAGAAACGCTTTTTTTTTTGAAGACGACGAACACACTGCAGGTATGGGGAACTATTATCTCATATTTGGCTTAAATGAATTTGGTTAAGTGGCATTCTTGTTAGGTTTTTATTTTCGTTCTCGTTTAGATTTTATATCCTGGAAATTTCATGACTTGAATCAGAGGGGTCATGGGTTGTACAATTTCAATTGGGTTTCATCGCGATTGATTTTGAATGTCTTGTTATAATAGGAGAAATTGTATGTTCTGAAGAATGAGAATAAAGTTTGGTAAATGACTTATAAGGAATTTGTTAAATGTTTTTTGAGTTTATTGGTGTTATATAAATGAAGAGGAGGTTATAATGTAGGGTTCTGTTTAATTAAAATGGTGAATAGGTACGATTAAGGAATAAGAAAGGTATGATGCAGGTACTGTTTCTGTCAAGTTGATTTGAAAAGGGATTTTGGGGTAGGAAAATTATGGTATTATGAATATACACGATTTGAAAATGATTATTAGAGTATGCTTGTGAAGGTTTTATATATTGATGGAGATGGTAGGTGGTTTTTAAAGGCCAGGATAGTTATGCAGTATAGTCTCTTTTAAATTTCGATCTAAGTTTAAGCCTTGATTCTGAAAACAGTATGGTGGTAAGTAACTTGTTTTGATTGAAATATATGTATTAGTGTTAGTGCGGAATATAGTTGGATGAATTAAGGAAGTTTATAGTATGTTTGACGGGTCTCATTAGAGTGCATCTCTCGGTATTAAATTTTGACTAATTTGTTTAGTATAATGAATGTTTGTTACCTAGTTGCATCTTTGGGTTATGGAAAAATGGTTTAAGGTTGGGTAACACTGTGTGGTGGAAATTGGATATTTATATAAATTGTGTGACAACGATTGGTCTTGTGTGACAACAATTGGTCTGTGTGATAGAACGTTAAAGGTATTGGTTCTAATTAATCATAGTCTCTGTGACAGGGATAGAATAAGGCTAGCCTGAGTGAGTGTTAATGGGTGTACGCTTTAATTGTTATATTTTGATTATTCTTTGTATTTATTCAATATAATTGTTATATTTTGATTAATGCTTTGTGTTTATTATTATAATATATTCTCTGATTAATGCTTTGTGTTTATTCAATAGCTACCTATATTTCCGTGTGTTTGTTGCAATAATGATAAAACATGTGTTTTATACAGGGAGCAGATAGGAATGCAGATGATTCTGGAGTTGTGTAATTGACGAGAGAGGGGCTAGCATTCGGAAGCATAAAGAATTATTAAAGATTTAGTTTGAGAAATAAATTTTTATAAATGTACTTGACAGCTTTATTTGAAACTTGAGGTGTGGATATGTACATTGGAATAAATTAATTTTATTTTTAAATTTTCAACGTGACCTTTACGAAAAATTAGACTTTGATACTTAAGTGACTCTCAAAGTTGGACGTTACACAAACACCAATGAGGCAGCACAAGCAGGTTTCAGCCCTTAACCGACGACCCACCATCCTTTATCATGGTGTGCGCGGCTGCATTGTTCTCCTTCCTCCTCTTCTAAATCCAATCCTCTTTTTCTCAGGTAATTCCGTAAAACGCATCAACACNTCAGGTATATTCACCGTAAACGCACCACACTTGTAATATCAATCATTCTATTTCTGTTTTCTTAATTTCCGTTTAATTTCGCATGTTCAGGGTCCCTTTCTTCGGCTCGCAAATCCAAAATTATCCGCATCTTATCTAACTTTCAGTCCAGTGTTCAGCAATGTGTGGTAACTGTTCGATCTGAAACATTTCTCTCTGATGAATAATACTGATGTGGTTATTTATTCATCTTATCATTTCTTAATATTATTGATGTGTAACTCCGGCTACACTCACTTCCAATTCTGATAGAAGCACAGAAAAAACATATAAGCATCATAATCTATGTCTTGTGTTTTTATTTTTTTAAAAGGATAGAATATAGTTGTGTTAAGATATGTGCTGACGTTGGAAATTGAAACAGGATAAGAGGGGGCTAGGACTCACTGCTCATATAATTGACCATTGCAATTTGATCCTTAAATACCCTGAAGGTACCAACAGCTCTTGGGTATGTCTTTCTGTCTCCTCAATTCTGAGTTCTGAGAACTCTTATTTTTTTTAATGTTTCGTTAGTGGTTAAACTGTTGAGTTTCTTTTTTCTTTTTCAATGTTTAAATTATTGCAGTACAACGCACAGTTTAAGCACTTTGAGCCGTTGGAGTACAAATATGATGTGTGTGAGGCAATCCTGTTGTGGGAACAGGTGCATTGTCATGACACTCCTTTTGTTCCTGTTTCATTTGAAGTTTTAGAATGAGTATTTACTTGGGCTGATGTGTTGAGATGTTGCAGTATCGGAACATGACAACTGTGTTGACCAGAGAGTATCTTGATTCTCGACCTGGTGGTTGGATGGATTACGCTCCACAAAGGATAGCACAGTTGTATGGATCTTGAAACTTTATTTCAATTTTGTTTATTGGGTTGCATGTGTTATCAGTTAGTGTATGTGTGCGAATGCCTTTTCTTCTTGTAGGGGGACAAAGAAGTGCACCAACAAGACTCTTTGTGAAGAGAACCTCAATGTGTTATTACCTGCAAAGCCCCCATTTCACCCACGGCAGTTCCGAACTTGTGCTGTTGTTGGTAATTCTGGGGACCTTCTGAAGACTACATTCGGGAAAGAAATTGACAGCCATGATGCTGTTATTCGGGACAATGAGGCCCCTGTTAATGAGGTAAACATGTCAACCCATCATAATGGGGACAAAGTTTTAACAATTTCTTCTTTCATTTCCGTTTTCTTGAAATCCTATTAGTTTATCCAAAGCATAGATGAAACAACAACCTGCTTCTGCAATATCCAACAATTATATTATTACTTCTGAACAAGATCCCAAAAAGTGATATAGTATTAGAGTTTGTAGTGTATTTATCCGATAGGCTATTAAAAGAGTCGCGGATACTTATTTTGTCCCTATATGGATTGTGTAGGAATATGCCAAATATGTTGGTCTTAAGAGGGATTTCCGTCTAGTTGTCAGAGGTGCTGCGCGTAACATGGTCCCTATTCTAAAAGGATCTGGTAAGTTATGATTATTTTTTCGTTTGTCTGTTAGTTCATGGTATCTATATAATGAAAGGGTTAAAACTTGTTCTTTTGCAGACACTGAGGTTCTCATAATCAAAAGTCTGACACACAGAGAAATCAATGCAGTTATAAAGGTGAGAATCTGTTATTTATAACCGATTAATTGAATGCTTTTAGGTATATATCAGTACGGATGGGAGCAACTGGATACCTAACTACTTACTAAAATAGATTTATCTACATTTTTTCAAACTACATTTTATGGCAGACCATACCCAAACCAGTCTATCTCTTCCAAGGAATTGTACTACGTCGAGGTGCCAAAGGAACTGGAATGAAATCTATTGAGTTAGCGCTCTCCATGTGTGATATCATTGATATATATGGATTCACTGTTGATCCAGGATACACTGAATGGTTAGTTTATCTATTTTGATATTGATTATTTCTCAAATTCTTGGTGTTTCCTCCATCGATACACAAAATCTTAATTTTTAAATTATTTGTTTATTTATTTTTGTAAATGTTAGGTTGTGATACTAAAAGACTTTCGAACATTTCATGTTGAAATTTGAGATAATATCTTTAGAATCTTCCTAATTAGAGGAAATAGATATATAATCTTTTATTTTATTTTTAGTTTCCCTATTTTCCTTTTTAAAAGAATTAGATTATTACAAACAGAGGGTATCAAAATGTATTTTTTATGATTGAGAATAATAAATCAGTCTTATTTTTTAACTTGGTATCAGAGCCTACCTGATCCGCTTCCGCGGTCTTTGTTGTCTACCAGCGGCCCCCTAAAAGTCTTTTCTTTAACATGTGTTTTTATTGAGCTCCAATTGCCCTAGTCAAGTTCTGCCTTAGAATTCTGGCCTTTTATCCATTATTACCAAATACAAAGCTTGTTTGAGTATGATCACAATGGGATTCAAACCCATTCCCTTTCGGACCAATAGCTGAAATTGGCACTTTAGATCTGTTGATGCCCAATCAATTTTGGCTCCTTTTGGGATTCTTATTGACTGCTAGTTGAATCAAAGAGACCGAAAGTCTCTTCGAAGAACCCAAGAAAGGCCACTGCCTTTGCTGCTTACTCCGCTGTGCAATGCCTCTCTCCACCGCTAGTCATCGTCCGCCGCCAGCCTCCATACGTTGCCAGCTACTGTCCGTCGTTGGTCACCGTCGTAGTTCTGACCGATGACTAGCGGATCTGGATCGTCTCTTTGTGTGCGACCTAACCCTGGTGGTCAACACCTTAGACTCCTCCGCACGTGTCGTCACGCACCTCTTTCTCGTCTCAGGTTTTTCACTCTGTTGGAACCCAGAGAAAAATCTCTCTCTGTCTCTCCCCATCTTGTGGAGTTGTTCAATTTGGGAACATGTCCCAGGAATCTCAGCGCGCCTCCTCTCTCCATCAGATCTCGTGTATATGTTTGTCACGCGCCGCTGTCCCGGTGTCGGAATCACACCGCGCCGCTTCCGGTTGACTCGCCGGACCTCCTCCTCTCTGTTATGACCTTCCATAGCAAGATCTGCGTCTTCTTTGCTTCTCACTATTCGTCGCAAGCTTCATTCTTTTTTTGTTTCTCGAGCAACAGTGCTTCGTCTCCGCTACTGATGCCGCTGATGCGCCAGCTCCTAGTACTACTTCTCCTGCTTCCGTCATCTTCTCCATTGAGAAGGGTTCTCTGCCTTCACGGGCTTTCTGCCACCACCAATGGGTTTCTTCTTCCTCTTTCTTGTGCGGCATTGATTGGTGCTTCTTGCCGACGTCTCTGCCGCTTATGCTGCCGAATGCACCGACATCTATGGCCAAGCTGTCTCCACTATCTGGTTACAATTCCGTGATTCTCTCTTGCAAGTGTGATGTCCCCGTTGGCCTGTGGCATGAAGGGGAGTCTGTTTATGTTCCAGTCAACAATTCATTAGCCTTGTTGGCGGGTGCTTTAATGTCGCTGGTGCTGCAGTCAGTTGTATGTTGCTGCCTCAAGTTTGTCGATGTTGCCTCAATAAGCTACCACATTTTCTTTAGTCAAGATTAAGAGTGTCTCGTGAAGTGCATTAGCCGTCGTTTTCGCTGTTTGTCGTGAGGGAAAATATTTTTCAGCCCTTGGAGAGAACTTTCTTCTTGGGCTAGAGTTTAGCCCGTACTTTTGTGATACAGTGTAAGTATCACCATTTGGGAGTAGTCCAGTAGAGAACTTAGGACCTCCAAAGTGTCTTCGATATTTGGTGTTTTTTGGTTTCTACCATCACTAATGTGAAAGGCTCTCTTCACCTTCAATGCTTTGTTATAATAGCTCACTGAGAGTTGTTCTTTGAGACCGCCCGCTGAATTGACTCTTTCGAAGTTATGGGATTTAGATTTGTCCCTCGTACGGATCAGTTCTCACCAGTTCTTCCACCTACACGTTCTGTTGTTCAGTCGTGAGGAGGAGAAAGTTCCAGCCGCTGCAGGGTAGTGTAGTGCCTGCAGGTTTGTTGCTGTTAGCCTCTGCAGGACAGATGTTGCCTGAAGGCTTGTTGTTGTTTAGGGCAGTTAAGTCCCTGAAGGTTTGTTGTTGTTTAGGGTAGTTAAGTCCCTACAGGTTTGTGGGTTAGCCTTTTAGTTCCAGCCACTGCAGGGTAGTGTAGTCCCTGGAAGTCTGTTGTTGTTAGCCTCTGCAGGACAGTTGTTTCCTGAAGGCTTGTTGTTGTTCAGGGCAGTTAAATCCCTGAAGGTTTGTTGTTGTTTAGGGTAGTTAAATCCCTACAGGTTTGTGGCTGTTAGCCTTTGAAGGCCTCCCATATGTTACTAATAGAAATCATGTTCTTAAAGTTTTGTTATTGTTCGCCACTATTGATAGTAATCCAGTCCCCGCAGTTTGTTGTTGTTCGCCACTGGAGGCCCTTCATCTGTTATTGTAGTTTGTTAATGTTTGCTGCTGCAAGTCATCATCCATTTTTAATGGAAATCTATCTCGTCCATTGTTTTCCAAGTTGAAGTTTCATGGTGCTCGTTCGCCCTCGTCCATTGTTGTCCAAGTTGAAGTTTCATGGTGCTAGTTCGCCTTCGTCCATTGTTGTCCAAGTTGAAGTTTCATTGTGCTAGTTCGCTTTTGTCCATTGCTGTCCAATTTGGTTTATTGATGTTCTCTACAATTGAGTTTGACTACTATTCCAAGCTTGGTTCATACAATCTTGTATGATCCAGCTTGAGGGAGAGTGCTGTAATTTGAGATAATATCTTTAGAATCTTCTTAATTAGAGGAAATAGATATATAATCTTTTATTTTATTTTATTTTCCTAGTTTTCCTATTTTCCTTTTTAGGAGAATTAAATTATTACAAATAGAGGGTATCAGAATGTATTTTTTATGATTGAGAATAATAAATCAGTCTTATTTTTTAACTTTTCATCTTCCCTTTTTATCTTTTTTTTTTCTTATAGGACAAGATACTTCTCTAAGCCTAGAAAGGGACACAATCCACTTCAAGGAAGAGCGTATTACCAACTTCTAGAATGTCTTGGGGTATACATTAATTATAAATTTCTATACACAATATATTTAGTGTGTATATTTTATAATAATTTCGAGTTGTTTTATTGTCAGGTAATCAGGATTCACTCGCCCATGAGATCTAAGAGGAGGGAAGACTGGTCAGATATACCTAGTAGAGAAATGATAAGGCAAGCACATGCAGCAGCTTTGCGTTTGAAAAGGAATGAAGACGATCATGGAGGTGATTTAGGGCAGTTTGGCAATTGTAAGGTGTGGGGCAATGTGGATCCAGAGAACAGTGGACCTGTATCAGGATCACCAGACATGAGTGATGTCAGGAAATATTCAAATTATAGTAAATGGGAAGTGATACCTTTTGAGAGTTTGAGGAGGGAAGCACAGGATCATTATAACCAGATGCAAGGGGTCTCTCTATATAAAATGGACGGCAATAGGTTGGATGATCTAGTTTGTGTGAGACATTCCTCAAAATCTGATGCGTAAGTGGTGCCTTTGCTTTCTATTGATATTATTTGATCGTGCCCAACCTTCTATAGAATCTTGGATGAAGTTACTTTCTCTGAGGGCTGCTGACATTACTTCCCAACAGCGTTCTGTTTCTTCACTTATTGCAGCCAGAGCGTAGCACCAATCTCAACTCCAAGTGAAAAAATGGAGTGAATATGCATAATTCCACCAATCCTGGTGATTCATGTTAGAAATCACACTACAGGAATTCTGACCCCAGAAGTTTGTTGTACCATTTTTTTTTTCAGTTCTGGAATGGACAGTCCTTAGTCCGTGGCATGATAGGTATCTAACTTCTATAATGTAATAATTGTCTAAAGAAGTATCTGCAAAAAAAGAAACATTTTTTTTATGATGATGGATAAAGAAAAAGATAGTGAGCTGTTTTGTTTTACGAGATTTTCAATGTATTTATTTTGTTGCTAATTTTGTTTCCCCTTTATTCATGTCTTTTCTCTTTTCTCCTCTTGTCACTACTTATCTTGAGTTTGTTACCACAAATTGTTGCGTGACTTATTTTGCTGAATTTACCTTTTCATTTTGTTTACTAATTGGTCAGCCTCAAGATCAATAGCTCTTCAAATATGTGACTCATGCAACATGTTATCTATTGTTGGATGGGTAACTCAAAGTTGATCCTATTCCTCTAACATTTAACTACTTCTATTAGGCAATTCTCAATTATAAAGTTATGCAAATAAAAAGTTTTGCCTTGTCAAGTTATCCATCAACAAACTCATTTTTTTACATTTTATTTCGTTTTCTTCTCCCTTATCAGCTTGTCAATTTTACTGTAAAGTTGATAACAATTTAAAACTTAAATTACTTTGTTTACTTAAAAAAACTTAAATTAACAATTAAGTTACATTTTACGGATAGAGCTTCTCTAACAATTACTTTATTTATTTACAAAACTTAAATTTAAAACCTTAGGTGAAGAAGAAAAATCAGGGTGGTTCTTACTATTACAATGATCAAAAAATTCCAAGAGCTTCATAATAAATATCTTGAGTTGATGGAACCCGCTATAGCAGGATGATTCCCAACACAAAAAGACAACCTTATCCCACACCTTAAATATCTCACTTCATTACACTCTTGCACTGTCATATCCTAAACCTTATCTCACTCCATTTTCTTGTATAAATAGGAACCACTGCTCCTCATAATCTTAATCCAAGCTCAAAGTTCAGGAAACCAACACCTTCAAGATGCAAACAGCTTTAACCTTTGCTGTCCCCAACGTTGTGCCTTTGGCACCCACAAAGACTGTCACCCATCTCACCAACTTCCCTACCAAATTGAAAACCCCACGCCCCTCCCCTCGTTACTCTCCAATAAGGGTTGCAACTGTGGATCCCGACACTTCAACAGTGGACTACAACTCGGCCTTCTCGTAAGCCATTCCTTCTATCTTCCTTGCATGAACATGTCTGTTTGTGTTTTTTGATGGCTGCTCTGTTTTCAGAGTGTTTCCAGCAGAAGCATGCGAAACTGTAGGAGGGGAAGCCTGCATGGCAGAGATGTACCCTGAAGCCAAGCTGCAGCCACAAGCTAAGAACGACACACCACGAACAGCTACAGAGAACGTTGAGAGAGAGTATCTTGAATACAATGATCCTCAAACGTAAGATCTCTCATCAACCAAAAAGACACCCTTTTACAAATACCAAATCAATTGAGATCAATTTTCACACACTTTTGTTATAAAGATTTATACACGCAGGATGATGGATCTATGCAATTCAGAATATACTCATTTTATGGACTTCATTGATTTGAATTCAGAACAGTGGAAAAGCATTATGATTTTGTGGATGTGTTTTGCAGGGTATTTCGGGGAGAGGCTTGTGATGATCTTGGAGGAACTTTCTGTGAGCCCGAGTTTCAGAAGAATGTGTATTAGACCAAACACAAAATCTTAATGTTTTCATGTCTACTTAACTTTTCATATCAACTTATGTGTTTAGTTGTACATAGTTATAGACTCTTTTGACTTTCGTATAAATTTTACAATAATTATACACTAAATTTGATAGCTTTGACTCTCCTTTTTCGTTGGTTTAAAATTAAATTAAATAAAATGAGTTTTCTATTTACTGGGCATTCTTTTAGTTCTTCACATAATTTGTTAACATTTCTTTAATATTAATTTGATTTTCTAAAAGCAAACATCAACTTTTTCTGATGCGATCTGATAAATCTTTAGATTTTGTAAAATTAAACAATTTTAATGGAAGGTTAATTTTTCATTTAGTTGATTGTATAAAAATATTATATATATCTAAGATATTTATTATAATTAGTTTTACAATATGTTAATCAGAGTAATATATATATATATATATATATATATATTAACAATTAAATTATTGGCTAATTAAAATCACATAACTTTAAAAGATTAAATTTTTTAAATTTGTAATTAAAATTTGAGGGAAACAAAATTGTTCATCCATTAACTTATATACATTAGGCTTATTATCTATTATTTTATTAGTTAATTTTATTCAAAATAATCGCATCTCAGCCAATATTAAATGATTGTCATATAATTATAAATTACCATAAGTTTATTTATTTATTAAAAGCCACAATTAAAAGATACGCAACAGAAACTAAAATATGTGCAGAGACAATAAAAGTGTAGTTGGAAATATCTAGCATGGTGGATAGGCATAGCACTTTCACAGAAGCTAAGGCAATCCAACTTTCTAATGCTTATCCCATTCACAGTAACATGAATGGCAACCACAAATTTCAGATATTCCATTGTGACACATGTACAAGGATTTATTAGATAACAAGTATTTTTTTCTTAAATAAATTAAATAGTTTTTTCTTTAAGCTAAAAATAACTACAGAAGATAAATAAAAATTTTAAAATAGTTACATAAGAGTGTTTTATCAATTTCTTTTTAGTTTAAAGAGAAATTTTCTTTTTATAATTTTAGATTTGTATATTTTAAATAAAATATTTTGAACTTTATTATGTATGTTTCAGCAAAGAAGTAGACTTGAAAAGCGTGAGAAATGATGGAAAAAAAAGTGAAAATACTTCGTTTGGATAAAGAAAAATAAATTGAAAAGTGAAATGGTATAAAAACATATTAAATACATTTTTTATCATCTAAATAATATAAAAAATTGTGTTCACTTTCTAAACTATATTATAAAATATTTATATTTTACTTTTAAAAATAATGCAGGAAATTATATTATAATTTGATGTAAAACTCTGCATGTTATATGAGTAATCCTTCACGTCTTATTTATTGAGAAAGCTTATTTATATAACTTTCATATTATACACTAATTAAATATTTTTATAATATAATTTAAGAACAAAATATAATTTTTTATAATAAATTGAAAATGGAAAAACATATTTAACAAAAAAATATTGTGAACGATTGATTGATATAATAAATTAAATTTTTTTATTTATAAAATGATAAAATTATTCACATTATTACAAATTAATTTTAGTCAAATATTAAATTAAAATATTCATTTTAATTTTATTAATATTATCACTTTGTAATTTTATTTTTGTAACGTCCCATTTTTTTCTTGTTTTCTATATCACGAGTAATTATAACCATTTTTTTTCTTGTTTTGTCACAAGTAATTAACATTATTACTAAAATGATAATAAAAGAAAAGTTATTCTAATTTTTATAACTTTCAAATAAAATTCTAAAATTAACTACTACAGATAAAACGGAAATGTTTAAAAGTAACACTAATAACTTTCAAACTCTCCTAGCACCTCATTGCTTTATTATCTGACTGGAGCATTTGTAATAGCATTTGTTTCTCTATAACAACATGAGTTATATGATTATTGCAAAACATAACAAAAAGTAAGGGTGAGCCACCAAATAAAAACATTCATGTAGAGAGTATAACAATATTCAGTATACATCAAATCAATATAATCAACAGATCACAACAACCCAATTACCTCAACCACATGTCACGCCAAAAAAGTATCAATACTAACTAGTTACAGCCCATGTGTCATCTTACCGTACCTTACCATACAAAACATGTTCACATAAACAGGAAGGTTCTTTCGAGTCATCCTCCACCGCAGCTTCAGACCTATCTTCTCTGCTCCTCCAAGACTTATGAGTAAAAATGATGGCATACCCTCTAGTCATGGTTAAACACTTTCAAGAAGAGTTGAAGTCATATGTGAAAGATGGGTCTAGACTCAATCTCTTGGACCATCTTGGGCTATCATAAAGCTTTTGGAGTAAGAATAATTTTGGGCCAAATGATATAGGATTTATTTGGGCTTTGTGTAATGGGCCTAGTAGTATAAGATATAATTTGGGCCTTGTATTTTGGACCAAGTAGAATAGAATTTTGACTACCCAAGTCAACAAAGGGCTAAGGTCCAATTTTGACCAAGGTGGACTTCGACGCCATGATTTGACCAAGAGGTCAACATTTTTAGCTAGCTTGGTGGACAAGAGAGAGTGGATGGCCTTGACAATTGTCACCCTCATATTGGAGAGTTTTTCTTCCTAATTAATGGCTACATGTCACTCTAGGAATGAAGAGTATTTTTCATAGGTAGTGGTCACATGTCATCCTCTCATTTGAGAGGATTTTCACCACTTGTCTTCTTCCGAGGATTTCTCCTTGCTCTCCAAGCTAGCCAAGGTCGCTCTTTTTAGGTTAAAGTTTCTGCACATTTTGAGACACCTCAACCTATAAATAAAGGTGTATCTCCTTCATGTAACTACCTTTGAAATAGAGTAAAGTTATGCTACCATTTTTGTGCCATAATACTCTTGTAAGGTCACCCTAGACTAGAGCAACCAAAGTGGCATCCTCTAGCCACCTTCCTCTAAGAGTTGGCCCAACCTCTCTTAGATAATCATCAAACATCACCTCCATCACCATAAAACATCACAAAATCGTGAGCTTAGCTCTCATTTCTACCAACTTCCGCAAACACTCATTATTCACCCACCTTCACAACTTTTCTTCTAGCTTTAACCCAACTTAGCTAGGAGATTGCCATAAAAAAAACTTCACTACTTTCATAACGGGCACTATACTCAACTCGATTGGAAACTTGGGTGAGACATCATTCCATTTCTACTCCCTCGAAAGATGAAAGGGACAATACTCGAACATTGGTCCCTTCCACTGTCCTTTATAGATGAAGAGACTTATCTCTTCTACTGCCTCTCAAAGGCGAAGAGATACCACTGATGAATCATTATTTTGTACTATTCACTTAGTTTTGCGCACCGAATTGTATTAGTGAGTTATGTTTAATTCTCCATTATAGTCTCATTTTCACTATTTGGGCTTGAAGATTAATTCTTATTTGAATTATTTGGGACTAATTATTCCAATAATTATATGTAGGAC